CAACCTGTTTTTCAAAATTTTCTGCGGGAGGCCTCCTACCCCTAGTTAAAGCTCGTGCCTTTGCCCCCTTAACCTTGGACTTTGCCCCAGCTTTGCCCCTCCAATCACCGACGGCTGGCGCCGCCAATGTCCAGAGGTCACAATTTTTATCTGTTTTTGATGAAACTTGTAATGTATATTTATGACTCAAAGATCTCATTGTATGAAAAATCATGTTTTTAGCTTGTGAACACTCTAGAGGTCACAATTTTTATCTGATTTTGATCAAACTTTAAATGTGTATTTATGACCCAAAGATCTCATTTCCTTTTGATGTTTGCGCATATCGGACTGTAACTTCCTGAACTATGGCCCCTGATTGTATGAAAAACCACTTTTTATACGCCCACATTTTCATGTGGACGTATATTGTCGTCGCCCCTGTCCGTCCGTCCGTCCGTCCGGACGTCCGTCCACAATTGTTTGTGAACAGTCTACAGGTCACAATTTTTGTCCGATTTCAATGAAACTTGAAATATAGGTTTATCACCCTAAGATCTCGGTTCCTGTCGATATTGGCATCTATCGGACCGTAACTTCATGGATTATGGCCCCTGATTGTACGAAAAATCACGTTTTTGGCTTGTGAACACTGTAGAGGTCACAATTTTTATCCGATTTAGTTGAAACTTGAAATGTAAGTTTATAACCCAAAGATCTCGGTTCCTGTCGATATTCGCGCATATCGGACCGTAACTTCCTGAATTATGGCCCCTGATTGTACGTAAAAACACATTTTTTGGCTTGTGGACCCTATAGAGGTCATAATTTTTATCCGATTTAAAAAAAACGTGTTAATATATCACCGTTACACCTTAAGGACGGCTGAGTTCGAATTTCGTGAAAATCGGCCCAAAACTGACAGACAAAATGGCCGCCGTTCGTTCTCAAATAGCGTATCAAATGATATTCCTCCACTTTTAGACCCTAATGGAAGAATTGCTCATTCAAATTTTGATAAAGCTGAATTACTTAACAACTATTTTGGATCAATTTCAAATAACACTCAGCAAGGAGAATTACCAAAATTCAATAAGCGAACAAATTGTCTACTTGATATTCCTTTAGTCGAAGAAGAGGAAATCGCAGATCTTATAAGTACACTGAAATTGAAAAAAGCCAATGGATTTGATAATAATAGTAACAACTTACTAAAATATACCAAAACCTCAATATGTGTACCATTAAAATATATCTTTAACAAATCACTAGAATCAGGCATTTTTCCAACAATTTGGAAAAAACCAAATGTCCTACCTTTCTATAAAAAAGGAGACCGCTCTCTAGTTTCAAACTACCGACCTATAAGCCTATTAAGTTCTTTGAGTAAATTATTAGAAAAGGTAGTTTTCAAACACCTGTTTAACTACTTTCATGAAAACAATCTCTTGTACAAATATCAATCAGGGTTGTGACCGAACTACTCTACTGTTCATCAACTTTTAGAAGTGTATCATGATATCTCATCTGCAATAGATAAGCAACTATATTCCTGCTATGTTTTTTGCGATATATCTAAAGCGTTTGACCGCGTATATTTACCTGGTTTGATACTCAAATTAAGTCAATATGGGGTTTCAGGCATGCTAATTACGTGGTTGTCTAGTTATGTCCAAGACCGGACTCAACGGGTATTCGTAAATGGCTCTGTGTCATCAGAAATTACTCTTCAATCAGGAGTTCCCCAGGGATCAGTTTTGGGCCCCTTTTTGTTTTTGACTTACATCAATGATGTACAAGATGTACTCCATAATGTGGCTAGATTATTTGCAGACGACACGGCACTTGGGTGTAGCAAACAGTCAGTTTCAGAGATAGAACAGTCCCTAAACTACGATCTGACAAATCTCAACATTTGGGCGAATAATTGGCTTATAAACTTTAATCCAAACAAAACAAAAGCTATTTTATTTAGCTCCAAAAAAACAGAAAATTATCCAAGTCTGATATTTGATAATCAAGCACTTGAAGTAGTTAAATGTCACAAACACTTCGGCATTACCCTTTCAAATGACACCAAATGGACCATCCATATAGAAACTATTATCTCGTCCACCTCAAAATTATTAAATATTTTGCGTAAACTAAAATTCACCTTTAATAGACAAACTCTAAAAAACGTATATTTGATATTCATAAGGCCAAAATTGGAATACGCATGTGAAGTGTGGGATGGGTGTAACGTTTCCAATACCGAAAAACTTGAAAAGGTACAGCTAGAAGCTGCCAGGATTGTGACTGGACTAACTAAAACTTGTTCTCGTGAAGCGCTTTATTTTGAAACCGGATGGAATAAATTATCAGACAGACGTACACAAAAGCGACTAACTACATTTTTTCAAATTAAAAATCAGAGAAACCCAGCATACTTATATGACATTCTAGAATATTATCAACAAACACCACAAAAATACAATTTAAGAAACATTAGCGAATATAGATATCCTTATTGTAGAACAACATTACACCAAACTTCGTACTTCCCCACAACAATTCGAGATTGGGAATTATTAGAGGACCCCATAAAGCAATCAACCACTCTTAAATCCTTCAAATATCTATACAAACAAAAATTACGTTCCTTAATACATAAAGCGCCAATCTACTACTGTAAAGGTAATAGACATGAAAATATTATTCACACTAGAATACGGCATGGGTGTAGTTCGTTGCAAAATGATTTGTATGAAATAAACGATGTGAATGATCAAACATGTTCTTGTGGCAAATTTATAGAAAATGCCGAACACTATTTCCTGCAATGTCACTTATATGATGTAATTCGTGCTGAACTATTATATACACTGTCAAGTTATTCTGTGATAAATATAGATATCCTATTGTGCGGCAATTCAGAATTGTCAATTGAGATGAATACAAACCTTTTCCTTGAAGTTCACAAATATATCAAACTTTCAAAACGATTTAAATAAAAGTTAATGTTAGTAGTTACATCTTAGAATAAATTATTAGCTTTAGCTTTTTTAGTGGATAACATTTTTTTTTTTTTTTTTTTTTTTTTCCCCGCAACCCCCATTTTACTTATATTACTTATAAATTATTTATTATTGTATATACTATTTCACAATCTTGTTTGTATTAAATAATGTCTATCATTTCTATGTATGGAAAGGGCTTTTCTAAGTTTTTGAAACTTGTGCTCAATCCTTTTGATATTTGTCAATAAAATATGTTTAAACAAAATAGCGTAAAAATATGTTATATCAAGGTTGTGGACCCTATAGAGGTCACAATTTTTATCCGATTTTGTTGAAACTTGAAATGTAAGTTTATAACCCAAAGATATGGGATCGTAATTTCCTTAATTATGGCCCCTGATTGTACGAAATATCACGTTTTTAGCTTGTGGATGCTATAGAGGTCATAATTATTATCCGATTTAAAAAATCATATTATTATATCACCGTTACACCCTAAGGACGACTGAGTTCGAATTTCTTGAAAATCGGCCAAAAACTGACAGATAAAATGGCCGCCCTTCGTTCTCAAATAGCGTAAAAATATGGTATATCAGAGGTTACAATTTTTATCCGATTTTGTTGAAACTTGAAATGTAAGTTTATAACCCAAAGATCTTGGTTCCTTTCGATATTCACGCATATCGGACTGTAACTTACTGAATTTTGGCCCCTGATTGTACGAAAAATCGCGTTTTTAACTTGTGGACCCTATAGAGGTCATAATTTTTATCCGATTTAAAAAATCGTATTATTATATCACCGTTACACCCTAAGGACGACTGAGTTCAAATTTCGTGAAAATCGGCCCAAAACTGACAGACAAAATGGCCGCCCCTCGTTCTCAAATTGCGTAAAAATATGGTATATCAAGGTTGTGGACCCTATAGAGGTCACAATTTTTATCCGATTTTGTTGAAACTTGAAATGTAAGTTTATAACTCAAAGATCTTGGTTCCTTTCGATATTTGCGCATATCGAATTGTAATTTCCTGAATTATGGCCCTTGATTGTAGGAAAAATCACTTTCGTTTTAGCTTGTTTTCTATCCATCTCTCGAAAATGTGGGCGTATCCTGTCTGGCAGCCGCTGGTTTAGCTTGTGGTCACAATTTTTATCCGATTTTAAAAATCATTGAAATATATCACTGTTACCAAATGATGCTGGAGTTCGAATTTCGCGAAAATTAGACCGAAACTGCTTGACAAAATGTCGCTCCTTGTAAGCAAATAGTGTAAAAGGTTGTGGATCCTCAAGAGGTCACAATTTTTATCCGATTTTGATGAAACTTAAAAGTTTATAACCCGAAGATCTTGTTTCCTTTCTATATTCGCACATATTAGACTGTAACTTCCTGGATTATGGCCCCTGATTGTATGAAAAATCTTGTTTTTAGCTTGTTCTCTGCCCATCTCTTGGAAAATGTTGGCGTATCTTTCATGGCAACCGCTTGTCATATTATATATAATTTGTAAGTCTATAGCAGATTGGCAGATTTGGAATGCTTTAGGGATTTGATTAAATTGTTATCTGCTTACTTAAAGGGGCATTATGGGAGCTTAGATAAAGAGTTGACAGTTCTAGCTATAATAGTTAAATAATAGATGACATAAATAGAATATGCTGAAAATTTCAGTCAAATTGCTCCACTCTGAACTGAGATATTAGCTTTTGAATTTTAGGTTAGTTTCAATCATCATTACTTAGGTCAGTATGATAATAAACAAAGTCGCGATTATCCATTTTTTACGTTTAATTATCCATCACAAAATTTATTCCAATCCGCAAAATATCGCAGGCTAGCAATGGCATCTCGAGTTGATTATGGTCTGGATAAGTTAATTAATGTCTAATTAATAATTTAGATAAAATGTCAGGCCTAATCAAAGACCTGCAATAGGCAGATTTAACTCTTGCATAATGTATGTTTAAGTTTTATTATTATTTATAAGCTTACTAATTTTGGCACATGAATATTTTCAGGGTAGACTTCAATGTACCGTTAAAAGATGGAAAAATCACTAATAATCAAAGGTAAGTTTAAGTACATGTAGCATGTAGGATATTTTACTAGACGATATAAAATATTACAATGACAAATGCAATTCTTAATTATATGTGACCCATGCTGGCAAAATGAGTCGCCATCAGGAAATTTTGTTATTTGCACATTCTCCATCTCGATACCATCAAAATGGTGTATGGTTGTTAATTCAGGTATACATTGACTAAGCTGTGTCCGTTTGAAGCTGCCAATGTCAGGAAAGTACGTTTTGAGAAAAAACAAGTTAAAGATGTTGGTATGTTCCAAAACAAAATCACTTGGCAAACATGCCATTTATTTGCTATTTTGTTGTTTAATATTTTTTTCTTCAGGTTTTCAGGGGTGCTGAAAACGAAAATCATAGTAAATATTTGATCCAACATTTTTTTTATGTAATAAAATGTTTATATATTTTGTCCCACCAACTAGAATATTTATCTCACGCAATACAATCTTTTTGTAAAAAAAATATCCCCAACACATGCGGCATATTTACATCTCCTGTGATAGTGTTATAATTTAGAAATGAAATGAAATGGGGTTTAACATCCTACTGTTTTGCTCCTAAACTGGGCTAATGAAGATGGGCATACGCCATACAGTGTGCTATGAAGGAAATTTTGCCCGGGAAGCGGCGCTACAGCCTACTCTTATATCGAATTCCAACTGCCAAGGGATCTTTTACGTGCATCCCAATTTGTACACGGGACCTCGTTTTTTTGTCCCATCCGAACGACTAGACAGCTGTCCTTGTCAGGCCCTCCGTCCTGCATCACTGACAAGGGGAAACCACGCCGGAAAATTTAGAACAAATGAGGATAGTCCATACATTGCTATTAGTAATCTGTGTTTTGTATGGTGGTTGATTGGTATCATGTCGTGATATGGTGTCGCCCATTCAAAACCCGACAACCCAACATCAAGACATTATAACCCAACACCCTGACAACACAACATTTTTAACCCGCCACTACGATATTTTCACCTGACACCACGACATTAAGAATGTCGTGTAAAAATGTTGTATTAATATTATCTCTTAAAAATGTCGGGTTGTCATGGTGTCGGGTTGTTGACTTTATTTATCAATGTTGAAGCGACGATGAATAATAGAGTGCTGTCCCTTGCCGAGATCAAGTCAGCCCTCACTAAGAATAATTACCCTTCACTAACTGCGAATAAAACTGGCCCTCACTACCAAATTCACTGGATGACCATGGCTTGAGTGTTATCGCGTGCTTGGTATGGGCTAATTCGAGCCTTCGATAAATACAATGAATTGAAAGTAGTCTATTTTTAGTAACCAATTTCTTTGCTAAAAATAAAAATGATTTTATCTTTTCTAAAGTATGTAATCATGAATGTGCCAGAAAATAACAAGTAGATTTAAAGAGCCATAGAAACCTACTTTCCGGTGATGTATGATACAATAACTGGAATTTTGTATTAAGACATGTATTTTGACATTAAACACTCGCCCCACCCTCACCACTCTCTTTAATTCAGCCAGTGAAGGCTACCAAACTTGTATCAATTTTTTAATTTAAAAAAGTCAATCTTTAGAACATATCTTATCCTACAATTCTTATCGGATTTTCAATATCTTTATATTTTTAGACACTATTCACTATTAGTAATCGATTGTTTAGTATAGAATTTTGATATTTGACCTAGATTGTTTTAAAAATGATGTCATAAAATTTAATTTTTTTTAAAAGTGTAAAAGTTTGAATCGGGTAAAATATTGGTGACAAACGATTAATTAAGACCTTTGGTGCTTATTTTGAAAGTTTTATCAAAATCGGTCGATATGTAACATGATATCGGGAATTTCATATTTTTTTTATTTTTTTATAAACAATATTTTATTCAGGATGTCTGAACAAAATAAATATTGTTTATAAAAAAAAAAAAAAAAAGAAATTTGTGTTAAGACCCATAATTTGGTAGTGAGGGCCAGCTTGATTTGCAGTTGGTGAAGGGTAAGTATTCTTAGTGAAGGATGAGATAGTGAGGGCTGACTTGATCTCGTGGCCGCTTCAACATTGATAAATAAAGTCGATATCACAACATTTTTACGCGACAATACAGCATTTTTACGCGACATTACGACATTCTTAATGTCGTGGTCTCGGGTTAAAAATGTTGTGATGTCAGATTAAAAATGTTGTGTTATCGGATTGTCGGGTTGTCGCCTTATGAAGGGCGCCACCACATGATACCAATCAGCCACCATAGTTTGGAAAATTTTAACTTTTGTGAGAATAACTTCAGTTAATCTCATCAATTAATTAGCAGTGGTCAGGAGATCAAGATTGTTGATTGGTTAATCAAGTTTAGTTTTTTGATCATCAAAGAAGCTGCCACAGCTGTGCGCATCTTCTGTTAACTATGTCACATGACTGAATTAGAATAAAGTTTTGCGTGTATAATAGGTTCTTTTGTAATACCATAACAGTATCAAAATATGAATCCCTGATAGAAATTTCAATCTCATTTGTAAGAAATGCTTACAATCACTTTCATGCATTTTGGGGGAGGTGTAATGAAACAAATAATTTCATTCTCTTCATTTTGAAAAGTACCATATCAATCAAAGCAGGAATGTGGACGTATATTGTAGCGTTAGCAATGCTCTCATTTGTAATATCAAAGTCTTGATGTGTCATTTAGCACTATAGGAATCTATTGTGAAAGATGAATGTCTAATAGGAATATCAGTGATAAAGCTGTTGCCATTTTATTGTCCACGAAAATTTAATAATTTTAAGTCCAATTGAATCCAGGATGGGATATTAACTAGCGGTGGTATTTTAAAAAAAATTTCTTAATTAAAAATAAAATAATCAGCCTGAGTACATATTGGCATGAATTAAGCCTTGAGAAGTTTTTTTGTAGCAAAAAATGCCAATGGCGCGTTGTTCTTTAAGTATGCTGAAAATGGTGCATCAAAATCTGTTAAAGATGCCTTCCCACATACAAACTGTGTGATTTGATGATATATTTGGACTAAAAACTAATTTAGCTATAACTTGACTTGTCCTCGAAACAAGTCTGATAGTTTTTATTCAACACAATTCACACATATACATTAATTTCAATATCTAAAAGATTAATGTTTATTGGTTTCCTGTTTTTTTTTTTTTCAAGAATCTTAAAGAAAAAAGAATGATTAAAATCTGTCAAAAAGTCGCTATCCCTGTAACCCAGGTATCGTTTAATCTTGTGTATCTAGCACTAATTTCTTTCACATTCGTTTAATATCCAATCTTTGTTTACAAATTTGTAAAAACTGTTCAAAATCACCCTAAATCGTTTAATTTGTACTTCTGTCCAGTTTAAAGCTGACCATTCAATTTTGATAATGAGTGTACAATTTACAAGTGTTTAATTTCCCAATCATTGTTTAAAAAAAAACAACCCAATTGATTAATGATGTATAATGATTCATTTTTGAACAGTGATCAAGAAATTAAATACTTGTAAATTGGACACTCATTATCAAAATTAATCAGTCAGCTTTAAACTGGACACATGTACAAATTAGATGATTTTTGGTGTTTAAAAGATTTTTATGAATTTTTAAACAAAGATTTGATATTAAACGAATGTGAAAGAAATAAGTGCTAGATACACAAGATTAAACGATACCTGGGTTACAGTGTATGTTATATAGAGAAAAATCTCAGCCGGGCAAAATTGCACAGAACCGGAGTACCTTTTTTTACAGACCGATTTTGATAAATCTTTCAAAATAAGCACCAAAGGTCGTTTGTCACCAATATTTTACCTGATTCAAACTTTTACACTTTTAAATAAAATTAAATTTTATGACATTATTTTAAAAACATTCTAGGTCAAATATCAAAATTCTATACTCAACAATCGATTACTAATAGTGAATATATAAAGATATTGAAAATCCAATAAGAATTGTATGATGAGATAGGTTTTAAAGATTGTCTTACCTATTCAAAATGGTTGAACTTCCAGTGAATTTTAAATTGTAGAGATTGCTTTAAAAAGTTGATGAACGACGCCTATTGACAAATATTTTTAAATAAGGAAAAATTAAAGAAGTTGAAAATCTGACCTCGTTTTCAAAATGGAGATAATTGGAAAATTTTATTATGACGCCATGTAGACAAAACACCTGTCATATTAATTTGAGGGAAAACTATTACATGTACATACTTACTAAAATGACTTATTTTCACTCTAGAAGCACTCAGTCCATATTTTAGGTATAAACATTTAAAGTGGTGTCCTATATTAAAGGTTCTGTACGATATTACTCTCTCACATTCAGTTTTTAAAGTCGCACAGAAGCTTTGTTTACAAAGCGATTTTGTCAAAACTTTCAGAGTAAGCACCAAATGACCTAATTAATCGCTTAGCATCAACATTTAGCCTGATTTCAAAGTTTTACATACATAATATATCAAAATTCTAATTCCACTGATCGATGACAAATAGTGAATGGCTTCCAAAAATATAAAGATATTGAAAATCGCTTAAAAACAGTTGGACCAGATAGATTTTAAAGATTGAAATTCATTTTCAAAATGATGGCACATCTGAAGAATTTTAACTTGATGAGATTAGTCTATAAGTTGATCAGGCCTTCATGTAAAAGGAACGCGACCACTCTCGCTCTCCTGGACGTGCCTGGATGTCCGTCGAGTTGCGCTTTTTATAGCTCGCCGTAATGTCTAAATTGACTCCCCTCGAAGAAAACAATCAGGAAAAATATACCGGTAACAAAAAATACTGTCAATATCGACAGTCAACTTTCTTGTCGGTTACAATAACAGTCAAACCTTAGTGACAATCGGCCATCTGGTTCATAATCCGAGTAATTAGCACATTTAACGGTAATTTTGATAATTCGGTAAAAAAAAACCAAAACAAGCTTCCAGCAACTTTCCTATGTAATAAGCCCCGTGGCGAATGAAGAAATCTTGCGCGGCATTGGTCTTTGATGCTTGCA